ATTGCAGGAGGCAGCAACTGGCAAAGTGGTTATTTCCTAGGAACAATTTGAATGTCTTCCTTTAGATGACCGTGGGAGTACGTGACACTGCTGTCACTGCCCTGCCACAGCCTGACCACCAGCACCACAGGCAGGGGCAGTACCAGGCCAAAAAAAAGGGGGAAAAAAGGAAAAACTGAGCAAATGTTGGGTGGTTTGCTGTGTGGAGCTTGCAGCTGGTGGCTGGGGCTGAGTTCCTTTTGCCTGGCTCTGGCACAGCTTTTTGCTCTTGGTTGTTCCTCATGAATGTCCAGTTTGGCTCCTCCTGTGCCCTCAGGTCTGGAGGTGCTGCTTGCTGCAGGCACAGCCTTTCCTGGCCACTGCTGAGCTCCCATGAGAAGCTTCAAGCTTTTATTTCTGTTTGGAAAGGCTCTGCCATGGCCCCAGAGAGCTTTGGGGTGTGGGTCTGGGTGTGGAGAGGTTCCTCTGCAGCTCCTCAGTGCTGAGAGGAAACCCTGGGGGAATGGGACAGGATTTCCCAGCCTTTTGGAGGGAAATTATGCCTTGCTGTTTTTAACAGACCTGGGTGATGGTTTCATCCTGAGGTGTGAAGGAAACAAGGCAGAGAGAGGAACCAAAATATTCACTTGTGGTTTTACTCTGGCCTGGGAAGTTCAGGTGGCAGGAGCACTGGGACAGCCGTGGGAGAGGCAGGGATCTCCATCCTGGGGAGGAATTTCTCCCCAGTGTCCCATCCCTGTGGAAATGGGAAGCCATTCCCTGTGTCCTGTCCCTCCATCCCTCGTGGCACCAGCCTGAGGTGTCCCTGGGCTGGAGCATCCCTGGCTCCTGCAGCCCCATCACTGCTGCCTCCCTGGCACTTTGTCATTTTGTCATATTTGCTGATGTTGGTGACATTTCTGACTGACTCATTGGCATAGCAGACAGGTCATGGCTTTCCCTTGAATCCTTCAGGCTTGCCAAGGAATATCTTATTGATTAGAAATTGTTTCCCTGGTTATTGTGGGGGAAAAAATAAAGGGATTTATCCTGGTGGCCAGAGGAAGCAGATCCTGTGTTGCTCCAGGCTCCTTCAGTGCCATCCTTGTGACAAAATAAATGTAATGAATTTTGGCTTCTTGGTAGAGATGATATTTATTTTGAGATTTAACATATGACTAAACTCAGTTTCTAGTGAGAAGTTGCTGTGTTTGATGGGAAAAACTGCTGGAAAAAGCTCAAGGATCTTTGGAAACTCAGCCCCTGCTCATGATGTGATCATTGTTGTGTCACTCACACGTGGGCAAGGGGTTTGCAATTAAAAAATTAGGAAAAAAATTGAGAATTGGTGTTTGCTTGTGGTTGCCTGCAGGTTGCAGCCTGTAGTTGGTTCTTTGCTTGCCCTGGAAGGAATTGTCCCACAACCACAGCATCCTGCAGCTCCCTCTGGGCTTCAGGGAAAATTCCTCACAGGGAAGAGAGAAAATTTTTGGTTGGAGCAAATTGAAAGAGAGAGAAGTCTTTTGTTTGCCATCTAAGCTATTTATTAAGAATTTATTAGCTGTTAGTATTGAGAATCTGCTGCATTTTCTCCCAAGTTGGGTTTGTTTTCCTTCTGTCTCCTCTGTGTTGAGTAGAAATTCATCATATTTGGTGTAGAAAGTTTTTAGCATTAAATATTAGGGTGGGCAGTGGATTATTCCATGAGGAGCACTGACATTCCTCCTTGGTTTTCTGTGCCTCAGGAAGAACAAATCAGGTAACGTGGATTTCATTTCAGAAGTTCCCCTTTTTTCCTTAAAACACAAACCAGCTGCTTCTGATGCTCCCAGATTTTCATTTGCTTTCCTGTACAACCACAATTCCTGTCTGGGGTTGGGGGGAGATGCTGAGGAGCTGGCAGATCCCCCAGAGCCCCATTGCAGTTTTCCCTGGTATTGATTTTGATTTTCTGGGACACCAGGGATGCACTCTCTGCAGTCCATCACGGCTTGGGCTTAGCTGCAGGGCTTTGTTCAGGCACAGTGCTTGCTCCCACACCATCTCTCTTATTTATTCCCCAAAATAACCCAGGCTTTGGCCACAGCACCCCTGAGGGGTGAGAGTGGGGGAGGCAAAGTTCTGCTGAAGGACGTGGCTCATGTGGGGCCCTTCAGGGCTTCACATCTCTGGACATGGGGTTTTTATAGTGAAATATTTGACAAAACTGTGCCAGCCTTGCCTAGGAGCTGTTGGGATGGGTGCAGGGGCTTGGAATGGTGAGCTCTGGTGGGAATGTGGAGGGAGGGATGGAAATTTCTGTTGCCCAGTGGGGATTTTCCAGGCAGGCAGTGTTGGAGTCCCTGCCCTTTCCTTGGACAGCGTGGGGTGGTGTCAGAGCAGCCTCTGTGTCCCTGGGAGAGCTTCCCACCAGGAGATGGTCCCTGGCAATTTGGGAATTGTCCCTGCCCTTGGAAAGGGTGGAATGGGGTGGGATTTAAGGTCCCTTCCCACCCAAACTCTTCCAGGGTTCTGTGCTTGGTGAGGGAGGTCCCCCAGAACCCAGCTGGGTGCTGAGCATCCCCTGCTCCTCCCTGCAGGGCACTGCTCAAACCCATCCCTGGATCTGGGGGTTTTTAGGAGTGGAACAGCTGGTTTTAGCTGGTTTTTAGGAATTTTCCTGCCATCCTGGGAGATTTTAAGTGCATTCCCTGAAATGTGCCCAGTTGCTGAAGGAGCTTTTGGGGTTTTGCTGCTTTTCTCTGCCTGGTTCTGCAATGATGGGTTTGGCTGCTTCACTTCTGGAGGTGGCACCAAAACCTGGGAGATGAGACTTTGAGTGGGAATTTGGGTTTAATCCCCTCGTAGACATCCAGGGATTGACTAAAAGTCTGGTTTTCCTTATGCTGTACTCATTGTCCTGCAGAATTTTTGTGGTTCATCCCTCAGAACCTGCAAAAGGTATTAAATTTGGGATTTTGCCATGCTGCCTGCAACCAAAATGATCAATTCCACCTTCCAGTCCCACGGAACATGCCAGAAAATCCCTTTTTCCTCAGAAGGGGTAATTACTGCAGCAGCTCCAGCCTAATTTGAAGAGTTGGCTGTTAATTAAAACACCACAAAGGTGTAGGGTTGTCTTTTGGTGTAACCAAAGCTCCCATTCCAGCTCCATTAATCACTTTACAGTTATTGTGCAGGGGAAGGCCAGGACAACTGAGATGCTGGATCAGCCTGGAGTAAACAAATTCCTGCCCTCCTGGCATCCCCCAGGCCCAGCCCAGGGCTCCCTGCTCTTTGTGATCCAATTCCCAGCCATAATTAAATGTTCACTTGGTGCTGTCAGTGCTCTGTAAACCAAACCAGGTACCTGCCCTCTGCTGGAACCTGAGCCCGAGCTTCCACGGATGAATTAGCGTGCATCATAATTAAATCATCAACTCCTCCCTTTCACCCGCTCCCAAACGGGAGATCTGTCCCATGGAAAAAGGATCAGCTTTCCTGAGCAGCTAATTGAGCTGTCCACTGGGGTCCCAATTAACCCAACAGATGTGGAGCATCCCTTCCCAACCTCTCCGTCCCTTATTCCTGCTCATCCTAAGCCCAGGGTGTTTTCCCACTGTTGGATTCATGGATTCAGCTCTTGTTCTGTCAAAGTTCCCATGGATAATCTCATTTTCTTCACTGATTTTTTCCTCTCTGGCCTTGCTAAATCCTTTTTTTCCTCCCCTGAAATCTGGGAAATCAGTTTAAATCCAGGATGTTTTCCCAGTGTTGGTCATCCCCAGAGCTCGTGGATTCATGGATTTGTGGATTCATGGGTTCACCTCCTGTTCTGTCAAAGTTTCCATGGATAATCTCATTTTCTACACTGATTTTTTCCCCTCTGCCGTGCTAAACTCTGTTTTTTCTCCCCTAAAAGCTGGTGCCACTCCATTGCATAAATGGTTCATCCAGGAGTTATTAAATTAAGGTGAAGTTTTTAGGAATTTCCAAGCCATTACCAGAAATTAGGGGAGCGCTCAGGGTTATAAATAAGATTAAATGACATTTTTGCCCTGTCTGAGGGTGATTTTAGACTCAAAAAAAAACCCAACTATTAAAGCTTTTCTTCTTCACTAATAATTGCTGGAGGTACAGAGAGGTAAAATATTAGAATTCTTTAAAGTTAGTGCCACGTCTCTGCCAATGCTGCCATAAATCAGAGGGAGGCAGTAAAACCAGTGAAGAGGAAAACCTTTAATGGTTTTGTTTTTATGCAAAATTGCATTGGATTTTGAGTTTTTTTTTTAACTTCCTTTATTTTCTCACGTTTTCATGGTTAGAAATATTCAAGTCATTGTCAAATAGCCAATTATGGGTGTTTCTCCTCAGAAATTAAGACAAACTGCTGTTGAAACACCCTGCAAAATTATTTTGGTGCATGGGAACATCAACAATAGTTCTTTCTATCTTTATATGCACCCTCTGATCATCAAATAAATGCAGAAATTGAATTTTGCTGAGATTTTCCCTCAGTTCTGAGAAAGAATTGGCCATAATCTGTTTTAATTCAATTTATTTGGTGAAGCTGCTTGTCTCTGAAAATACCCATGGGACTGAGATAATCCTGATTTTCCATGAAAATTCTGAATAATGGTGATAATCTCAATTAATTCCATTGAAAGAAAATGGGAAAATGAATAAATGTGAGGTTGGACTCAAAGATTTAAGGTTGGACTCAATTTTGGAAGTCTTTTCCAGCCTAAACGATTCTGTTAAATTCCCATTTATAGTTTATTTTTCTGCTGTATCATAGCCTTCCAAGTGTATATTTTATATCAAAAATAAAGATACAAACCCTGACAAATGGTTCCCTCGTAAATATATTTTTGATCCCTCGTTTTCCTCAGTTTTCCTTTAGAAATGCTGGATAAAATTGAATTTACAGAAAATCCATGAGGTAAAATTCATTTTTCTGTGAAATGAGTGTGTTTGTATTGCACATCCTCGCAGAGGCAATTTTATATCATCTCAAATGACTGAATTTTTTCCTCACCCAGGGCTTACCATGTCCGTAGTGGAAAAATCCTGGCAGTGAAGGTAAGAAATTCCAGGTATTTTATTTTTCTCCCAGATTTTCTTGCCCTCGCTTTCCTTCCCTCTGATTTTTGGCTCTCAATTTGATTTATTGCATTAATTAATTTATTTACAGGAAATTTATTTATTTATTTATTTACTGTAAATTTAGTCATTCCCAATAAGCTCAGATTCCCAAAATTCAGGATTTTCCCCCATGGAATTGCCTGAAAATCCCAGATTTTGATACCTCCATAGATGTTTCCAAGGGCAGTTGGGCTCCTTGATTAAATCTGGAATTTGTAGAATTTTGTGGTCAGGAAAAATCCCAGTTTTCTCTGAAATTCACTTAAAATTGGGATAAAATAACAGCAACAGTGGGGCAGATCTTGGATGCAATTTGTGAATTAAATTATGCTTGCAAATTAAATTATTAATTATATTAAAATGAAATTATTAATTATATATTATATTAATTATATTAATTATTATTAGTTCATCTGCACAAAAGTAAGCCAAAAAATGTCATTTTGGGGCTTTTTTTAATGATAAAATACAGATTTAATTGCACAAGATAACCAAAACCTGTTGACTAAAACACTTCCAGCTGGTAAATAATCAACCCAATGCTAATAATCCACAACATCATCCCTCAGTGATGCACCAAATTTCAGATTTTGCATAACCTTAACCTCCAGAGGACTTAATCCCTTTTTCCAGGTAACTTTTCCTCTTTAAAGGGGAAAATCCCAGTGAAAACCATGAGTGTGCACTGCTTTTTGCCATTCTCCCACTGCTGTTAGCTGGAATTTCAGTGGAGCATTTGATTATCATTATTATCTTTATTATTTATTACCTCTGCCCACAATACCCCAAATTTCCTTTGAGCTGTGCATACTGTAAAAGACAAGGATGTCTTAATTAAATTAAAGCAGAATATGTGAATTTGACCTGTGATTTTTGCTCTGCTTCCCTTTAGAGGAGCCAGCAAATGGAGGGAGGCACCCGTGACAGCCCGTGATGAATTGCTGTGTTTATTCTGGATATTTTAATGGCCTCTCCCTAATTCAAATTGAGCAGGGAGTAAATTATAATTCAGTCACTCAACTGCTGGGCTTCACCTGACAGCTCAGCCTGCTGCGTGCTGGGGGAGCACAGGAGATGGCTCAGGTGGATTCTTCTCTCCAAACTCCGCCCTGGGCATCAGTGGGGCTCCAAAATCGCTGAATTTTGGGCAAAAATTTATTATGAGGATGCAGCTTGGTCAGGAAGATCAGAGGACTTCCCAGAGAACTTGGATGTCATTTTTAAAAAGTCCTTCTGGTCCAACATCCATCCCCAGCTCAGCTCCAAAGTTCACCCTTTTCCCTGGGCCTGAGGGCTCCAAAATCGCTGAATTTTGGGCAAAAACTTTATTAGGAAGATCAGAGGACTTCCCAGAGGATTTGCATGTTGTTTAAATTCATTTTTTAAAAGTCCTTCTGGTGCCACATCCATCCCCAGCTCAACCATTTCAGCCAGGTGTGACCCTGGAGCCACCCTGGGCACACTCAGGGGATCCCAGGGAAATAATGATGGTGCTGCAAAGTTCTTGGTTTAAAAAAACCCAATTATTGAATGTTCCCAGGGAGATTCTGGATTCCCCATCCTGGAGTGTCCAAGGCCAGGCTGGCCAGGGCTTGGAGCACCCTGGGATGGGGAAGGTGGAATGAGATCCCTTCAAGGGCCTTTCCCACTCAAACCATTCCAGGATTCCAGGAATTTGCATCCAAATCTTCATTTCCAACTTCCTCCTCAGCAGCAGTGACTCTGAGGAGATTTTTTGGTTTTTTTTTTTTGCTTTAACACAGTTCCAGCCCATGCTGGAAACTGTCACCTCGTGTTTTTCACCAATACATAATAGTCTTGGAAATGTCATACAAAAGGAGATCATAAATGCAGGTTAAGGTGAGATATAATTTTTTTTTTCTCTTTTTGTGCTGTAAATAAAGAAATTTCCTCCAGCCTTGACATGAGGTGGAGTCACACAAGCCACACATTTCCAGCTGGAAGAAAACAGTGAAAAAATTCTGCAGAGGAAGTGAGGCTGATCTGCCCTAATTAATTTTGGGGTGAAGTAATCTTGTAATTCCTCTGTCTGTGCCCTTCCCTTGCTGTCCTGACCACCTGGAAATGGGAAAACTCTGCTTTCCCAGGTTATCCTCATTATTGGGGTGTTTGTAATTAGGGTTTATGCAAATGAGCCCCAGACCTTTCCTCATTCTAGGCCTGGCTTTGGGATGTTAGGGATATTTTTGGTCCTGGGGTCAGAGAAATTCCTCACTGGGATTAGAAGTGAGTGAGATAAAGTTCTGTTTTGACACCACTGACAAGGTGGAATTTGGTGAAATTCAAAGAACACCACTGGTGGGATCCCAGCAGATGAATTTCTGAGGTTTTCACACTGGAAAAAATGTAAGTGAATATTGTTGGCAAATGATTATTGATCTGGACAAGTGTGTTAAATGTTTCTTGGCAGCCCTGTACTCCACTTACAATTTAGTTTAGTGACAGCTTTTATAAATAACCCCGGAGCAGCTCTGGGAAGAGGCAGGTTATTGGTTTTTCCTGGAGACAGATTTTGGTGCTGGGTTGGAAATGGGCTCCCCGTGTTCTGTTCTGTTCTGTCAGCACTATTCCTGGAGTGTTTATTCTGCTGATTCTGAAAACTGACTGAATTCTGCTTCCATGTAGCTTAAAGTATTAAATAATGAAGGGTTGGGTGGGGGCAGACTGAGCCTGGCTCAAAGCACTGGCTCCAGTTTGGTTTGTAAAGCAGAGCTTAGTAACTGAGTTTTCAAGTCTTCAAAGAACTGTGGCAAGAAATTCTGTGTTCAGTTTGACTTCCAGTGCCTTGTTCAGAGGGTCTGCCCTGAAAAATCCTGGGAATTTAGAGTTCCAGGAAGTGCAGCCAACTTTGGCTGCAGTCCCTGGTGCTCTGGTCCTGCTGGGCAGTTGGGATGGTGAGAAAATTTCCTTCCTGTTAAAATATTCTTTCCACCTATTCCTCTCCTTCTTGTTACCCCACAATGGCCATTATTCCATGGATCTTCAGGATCTTTATTTTGAATGATTCACTTCCCTTTTACATGAACTCTGTGTATTTCTGTGTTTCAGGTCATACCCTTGGATATAACACTGGAGCTCCAGAAGCAGATCATGTCAGAGTTAGAAATTCTTTACAAGGTATGTGGATTTTACCATCAGAATTATTTTTACTTCAGTCTTCTTACAGCAGATTTTAAAACAGCCTTGTGGCTTTTTTCTCTCTTTTTCCAGTGTGACTCCTCGTATATCATAGGATTTTATGGTGCTTTTTTTGTAGAAAACAGGATTTCATTGTGCACAGAGTTCATGGATGGTGAGTAGTGGATCCAGTTTGCTTTTGATTGCTAAGTAATTAAATGAGAGAATTTTTTTTTTTTTTTAGAATGAAATGCAACAGTAAGACTCGAAAATGTGGAGTATTAATAATATTGCAGGTAGTTAAAAAACCGGAGCAGGTTGGAATTGGGACTGGGGGACATTCTGCATTTTCTCTGCGTGGAACTTCGCTTACTTTTATGGAAAATGTAAATAGAAGAGGAATAAAGGCAGCCTTAATTTGTGGTTTGATATTTGAGCCTCCCGTGCAATCTGTCCTCGCTGACAAAACAGCTGTTCCTCACTTGTAGTGTTTTGATAGCCAAAACAGCTTTTCCTTTCAAGAAATCTATTAACCCAATGTCCTGGGTGTTTGCAGTGGAAATGGTCTCTTAATTACCAGGCAAGGAGTTATTTTCCAGCCCAGCTGTTTCCCAGCTCGCTGCCGAGTTCCTTTTGGAGTCCCTCTCGTTCCTCCCCACGTGAATCCTCACCCCAAAACCATCCCTGACCCCACAGCCCGGAATGACTGAGGTGTCCCAGCCCTTGGCTGGGGAATTTGGGGTATTCCTGAGGAAAAGCAGGAGGAATGCCCTGGTGCAGCAGTTTGCCAGATTTTTAATCCTCAATTTCAAATTCCTTTTCTTGCCTTAAGAATTTGTGTTTCAGCCTGGAGACATTTTGGACTCTGGTTTGATCAGGAGGTTTTTTTGCAGAACAGGAGGGAGGTTTCCCAATCCCTTGGGAATGTCTGTAGGGATTTAGAGGGAATCCCATGTTCCCATGAATGGGGGATGCTGGCAGGGCTGTGCCAGGTTCTTTCCCATTCTGGATTTACTGGGAAAACTTCCAACTGCTTCTCCAGGAACTCCAGGAATTTTATTTCAGGCATTGCTGTGGACATGGCCAAACCCTCCCTGGTGTGATGTCAGGAGGAGATGGCTTTAATCATGGATATAAAATGGACATTTACATCCATTTCAATGGCTATTTATATCCATTTAATTGGATATTTATATCAATTTCAATGGTTATTTATATCCATTTAATTGGATGTTTATATCCATTTAATCATTAATATAAATATTGGATACCACAGAATGGTAGCACCAGCTTTTGGGGACAAGAGTTGGGATACTTTGGCCCTTGAAATCTGCTTTTTTGAATGATTTTGTTATTCCCCAAGACATTTTTCCACACAGTTTGGAGTTCTTTAATGTTGATATTTATGACTGGAAGGTTTTCTAACATTTTGTCACTGCTGTTTTCTGAGTATCATTGCATCCCTGATCAGAAATCAGGGGATGTGGTAAGAAACTCCCTGAGTGCTGTTTTGTGTGTTGATGCAGAGTTTGGGAGGTTTTTAAGGTCAGTTATTTCTGCCACAGTTGCTGCTCTATCACTGATGGTGTTTTTATTAATAACCAAGGCCTAGAAAACCCTTGGGGCTTCAAATCTGGGGCACTGTTTCATCCACCTGAGCACGTGCTGTTTGTCCCTGCAGGGGGGTCTCTGGATGTTTATAGAAAAATTCCAGAACACGTTCTCGGAAGGATAGCGGTGGCTGTGAGTAATTTATTGCTTTTTATCTCTGTTTTTGACTGTGGGGGTGGAAAATCTGGGTGTGGGTGTTCATTAGGATGCTGGGGCAGCTCCAGGATCCGTGTGAGAGGAGGGTCCTTCCTCTCTCCTGCTCCTCCAAACCATCCCCTGTGCTCAGAGGCTCTGGGATAAAGGAAAACCTCCTTGGGAGTGACCAACACAAGCTCTGGAGGCTCATGAGATCTGGGAGGGATGGGACTGATGTGAGGGAAAGGTGGGAGCTGGGATGGTCCAGCCTGGAGAGGAGAGGGCTCCAGGGAGAGCTGGAGAGGGACTTGGGGACAAGGGATGGAGGGACAGGACACAGGGAATGGCTTCAGAGTGGAAAAGTGGAGCTTTAGATGGATTTTGGGAAGGAATTCCTGGCTGGACTAGAATTCCCAGAGCAGCTGTGGCTGCCCCTGGATCCCTGGCAGTGCCCAAGGCCAGGTTGGATGGGGCTTGGAGCAGCCTGGGACAGTGGGAGGTGTCCCTGCCATGGCAGGGCTGGCACTGGATTGGATTTAAGGTCCCTCCCAACCCAAGCCATTCCAGGATTCTTTGCTCAAATCTGTGTGAAAGGATGGGGGTAAATTCAGTGGGGTGAGGAAACAAAAGAATTTGCTGGAAGTCTGTGTGGTCACATCCCTTCCTGTCCGCATTTCTTCCCATCAGGATGGAGAAGTGCTTTTAATCACCTTGGTTTATTAAATTATTTCTTTAATCAGCCCTTTAGGCCTTCTGCTCTCTGTGGTGCCTTCAGGAGGTGACTCAGGAGCTCTCTGGGAATGCTTTGTCTCTGAGTGTGTGATTTCCAGCTGGCTGTCCTTATTCTGTCCAGAGAGACTCCCTTGGTTTTCCAGCCCCCTCTCTCTTAGGTTGCTCAGTGGCTTTTGTTGGAGGGTTGAGTTGGTTCCTGCCACCAAAATGCAGAGGCAGAACAGATTTTCTGTGTTCTGCTCAAGGAGGATGAAGTTTCTCCCTTGGCACAAGCCAGAGCTGGTCACGGGCTGGTCTCTCACCCCTTCCACACCTGAGCAGCCCCAGGGCAGGGTTAATTGGGGTCATTTTTGGGGTGGTGAGGCTGTGCTGTCAGAAGAACCCTCAGATCTCCTGGGTTTGGTCTTGAGGTGTTGACAGTGGGAGCCTTAAAGCCCCTGGTAGCTCATCCTTGGGGCTCTGCAGCCTTCAGCTGCTGAAAATTCACTGGCCACGATTGAAAACTCAAATTACAAACCAACAGAAAATTCAAAAGTTCAAAAAAACCATCTTTCCCCACAGCTGAGCAGAGGGTAATGACCAGTGTCTCAGTGGATCTCACCAGGGAGGGAGATACTGCAAAACAATTGCCAAATATAAGGAGTACTTTGATAACTTAAGCAGTTTAAAGCATAACAAAGTTATTCTATCATGTGCCATTTAATTAAGTGCTGGCTTTTCACATTCATTATACATCAAGCTGACAATTTAAATCCTTTAATCCAACACAGGCAGCTATTTAGTCTCTGTTCATTGTAATTCACAGCTCTCCTTTCCTCTTAATTTGTGTGGCCTGCCCAGGGTGATGAACATCCCTCTCTGATGCTGTTTCCTCTGAGCAGCTTCAAATCTGCTCATTATGTACCTGGCAGTTCCTTGTGGAGTTTGAGTGCTTTTCACCTCAGTTCAGAGGGAGAATCTTTCATCTCCTCTCCTCTCTGGAGCAGTGAGTGGGAAGTTGCTCACAGTATCCCCATTTTCCTGATGAGGATGAGGATGGTTTGATAATCTGGGATGGGCTTCCAGTGTTCCCTCAGCTGCTCATTCCTTGTTTTCCTGATCTTGGTGTGGGTTTAATCCGTCACACCTTGGTTTTATCTCTCCCCCATCCTCCCCTTGCCATTCCACAGATGTTCTCCTCCAGTTTTCCTCTCACCCCTAATGCTGCTGCTCCAGCTCCACCTTTTGTGTCTCCATGTCTGGATTTTTTCATTCCCCTTGGGGTCATTTTGTCCCTGATCAGTCAGCCTGGGAGCCTGACTCCCTGACATGGATATTTCACTTTTCCTACTTATTTTATTTCCTGTTTCCTGCTTGTGAGCCTGACTCCCTGACATGGATATTTCACTTTTCCTACTTATTTTATTTCCTGTTTCCTGCTTGTGACAGTGACTCCCTGGCATGGATATTTCACTTTTCCTAGTTTTGATTTCCTGCTTCCCATGCCCACTGCAGAGCAGGGGCTCAGGAAGGAGGGGAACAAAGGAGCTTCAGAGCAGGGAAGCTTCACCCTTTTCTGCTGCTCTGGGAGCAGAAGGTGAGCACTGAGGTTGAACCAGCCCTGGCAGCTCCTCTGCTCTGGTGCTGATTTTTGGCACAGTGGAGTTGTTGGAAGGAGGCAGCAGAAGCCTTTTGTTTTCCCTGGAATTGCTCAGTGGCTCCTTTGAGTCTCCCCACGCTGTGTCTGAGGGGGCAGCAGAGCCTTTTTAGGGGGCTGGGGCACCTTTGTGCTGAGTCCTTGTAATCCCCCTGAACACCTTGGGATTACCCAGATCCTGGGGGTGCTGAAGGAGGAGAGTGCCAGACAAAAGCTGCAGCTCCATGGATGGATTTTGTTGACAAAACCTGCAGCTTCCATTTTTTTTTTTCCCCAGTCTGGTTTTATTCCCTTCCCCATGTCCACAGTATTTTTTTTATTCTCCCAAGACATGTCCAGTGCATGAATTCGTGGAAGCTGCTTGATAACGTGTGTGACCTGCACATCTGTTAATTGCAATTTGTGGAAGTTTTTAAGTGAAGCCCTTTCCAGAGGAAAAGGATGCAGCACATGCAGGCATTCCCTGCATCCCAGCACTTCTCTGGCCTGGCTCCAGCTTTGGGATTTCTGGGCTTGGACTAGTTGATCTGGGAGGGCTTTTCCAACCTAAATAGGCACCACTGGGTTTGTCTTTCTCATCTTCTGCCTTCTCAACCAGACTTGGATGGATGTGGAGCAATTCCAGAGAGGCCCCAGAGCTGCTCCAGGGGCTGGAGAGAGCTGGGAATGTTCACTTGGAGAGGGGAAGGAGTCAGGGAGAGCTCACAGCCTCCTGCAGAGCCTAAAGGGGCTCCAGGAGAGCTGGAGAGGGACTGGGACGAGGGCAGGACACAGGGAATGGCTTCCTGTCCAACCTGGCCTTGGACATTCCAGGGATCCAGGGGCAGCCACAGCTGCTCTGGGCACCCTGTGCTCAGTGAGAAGGGGAAACCTCTCCAAATCCCTCTCCTTCCTCCTGTTTTTATTTCTGTGGAGAGCTGGAGTGTTTTCTCAAGGAAAAGCAGATTTTGGGAGCCCCAAAGTGACGCTGTGGCCACTCCTGGGGTGGTGCTGCTCCCTCCTGAGCTGGGCTGGGGCTGTCAGAGCCTCTCTGCCTTGGCTTGCCTCTTCACACATTTATTTTCCCTTCCATTGCTGGAGCAGTGACATTGTGCTCTGTGTTTTGAGCGCTGCTGTTGATTGAAGCTCTCCCTGAAAGGATGTGCACTTGAACTGTCAGCAGAGTGAGAGATTGACAGCAGGTGGAAGCACTTTTTGTGTCAAGGCTTTGTCAAGGCATTGTTGTAAAACCTCCTTTACTGAATACCAATAATTCCTGCTCCAGCTTCAATCAAAAGATTCTCCCCTCCAGTTTTAGAATAATATTTAATGCTTGAGAGTCCTTCCCTAATAGGCAAATGTAAGGGGAGTGAATAACGAGCTGAGTCCATTTGGGGGGCTCCTGTGAGCAGATTTACAGCCCAGGATAAAGGGAAAAACTCCTTTTTTATTCCTTTGTACACCCAGAGAGTCTGAAGGGAGAGTTTGGTTAATTCCATGGCTTCCCTCACTGCTTACCCAGCACATGTTCCATAATAAAGATGTTTAATAACTCACAGCTGTTGATTTGATTCCTGAGAAATGTTTCCTTTTTTTTTTTAAATGGATGCTTGCTTTAAACAAAATAGTTTCCTATGGTTTTAAAGATTTTTCAATAGTCTAAAAACATTTTTAATAATCAAAGAGTTTACTGTTCTGAAAATCCCTTTGGCCGTTGGAGGAAGCTTGAAATGTTCGTCTCCTTGATATGTTTTTGCGTTGGTACAACTTATTATTATTATTATTGTTATTGTTGTTATTAGTTTAATAATAATATTATTATTTTAATGTTATTGCTGGTGTTATTATGTCAAAACACTGTAGATAAAATTTCCATTTGCTTTTCATAAGCCGTGGAATCGTGGAAAGATTAAGGTCGGAAAAAACCCTTTAAGATCATTAAATCCAAGCTTTTTGAAAGGCTTGAGGTGAACAAGCCACACCTCTGGGCAGGCAGAATTTGACCAAATTGTATTTACTTTTAGGAACTGTATTTCCTTTTAGGAATTTTATTTTAGGAGTTGTATTCACTTTTATTTATTTTTTATGTATGAACATAGTAGTTGTATTTCAGGAGTCATATTTGTTTTTAGGAATTGTATTTGGGTTTAGAAGTCGTATCCACTTCTAGCTGTTGTGTTTTAGGAGCTGTACTTTCTCTGCTGTGAGAGGCAGCAGGATTTGTGTTTGGTCCAACATGAGAGAAGAATGAGGGAATTTTTCACAGTTCAAGAAGAAAAGTTCCATGTTTGCATTAAGTAAATAAAAGAAAGCAAAGGAAAAGGCACAGGATGCAGCAAAGGGAAAGAAAGGGAAGGGAGGATGAAGTGGAAGAGGTTGTTGAGAGATTTTCTTGGTTTCTGGCCTTTTTCAAGAAGACAAATCATTCCATCCTTTGGCCTTCATGGTTTTTAACACCCCAGCAAGGGCAGGTGAATTAAAGATCCACTGAGATGCCTGAAGGGATTCAGTGTGAGCTCAGCTGAGTTCAGCTTACAGCTCCTGGCAAGAAATTAATGTGGGTATTATTAATTTGTGCATTAATGAAGGAGCTGCTGCAGGTTTTTAGCAGGGGCTCACCTGGGAGGGAGGTGGGGTCTCCCCTTTTCCTGCTCCTGCCTTCATTCTTAGACCTGGCTGCTCTGATCTCCCACCCCAGCTGAAAAATTCCTGTCAGGAATCCCTAAATGTGATTTTTTTCTTTCTTCCACCTAAAGGTTGTGAAAGGCCTGACCTATTTATGGAGTCTGAAGATTTTACACAGAGGTGAGTATCAGATGTTTTTTGTTTTCCAATGAAATTTTAACATCACTTTCTCCAAAGACCAAGCAAACATCTGCCTGGAGTCTGCTGGGGTAATGCAGAATGAATCTTACTCATTAACCTTGCACACTTTCTTGTAAAACATTTTTATTGCTCTTTTATTGCCCTCCCTCCTCCCCTGAAAAGAAAAGGACTGAGGAGAGAAATGAATTTTACAGGGATTTAGAAGCTTAGGGTTGCAAACAGGTGCCCAGTGGAAAAAATCAGCGTGGAAATGAGATGTTTGATTGGTAGTGGAAACAGAAAATAGGCAATGAATTTTGTTTGGTGCTTCAGAAATCTCATGTGACAGCCACAAGTGTTGCTGGAGGCTCAGATCTGTAAAATCATGTCCAGGCAGTCCCTCAGTGTGAAATTTATCCATTTCTCCTCCATCCTTCCCTCATTTCTCACCATCCCAACTCCCCAGCAGCGACTGCAGCCAAGGTGGGAATTACAAATTGCCAGGATTTTCAGGGCAGACCCTCTTGAGCAAGGCACTGAAACTCCAGTTGAACATGGAATTCTTTGCCATGGCTCTTTGAAGACTGGAAAATTCAATTATTCAGCTGTGCTTTACCATCCAAATCGGCTCAGCCCTTCACGCCCTCACGGCCTCACACCCGCATGGCTCCTCCTCAACCCCTCATGGCATCATACCTGCATGGCTCCTCCTCAGTGCCTCAGAGCCCTCACACCCTCATGGCTCCTCCTCAGCCCCTCACACCCTCATGGCTCCTCTTCGGCCCCTCACAGCCCTCACACCTGCATGGCTCCTCTTCGGCCCCTCACGGCCTCACACCCGCATGGCTCCTCCTTAGCCCCTCACAGCCTTCACACCCTCATGGCTCCAGCCCCTCCTCGGTCCCTCACAGCCTCATACCCTCATGACTCCTCAGCCTGTCACAGCCCTCACACCCTCATGGTTCCTCCTCAGCCCCTCACGGCCTCACAACCTCATGGCTCCTCAACCCCTCACACCCTCATGGCTCCTCCTCAGCCCCTCACACCCTCATGGCTCCTCCTCAGCCCCTCACACCCTCATGGCTCCTCCTCAGCCCCTCACACCCTCAATTGTGATTTGGAGAGAGTATAATGCTGTAACATTTTCTTGGTGTGCTGCTGTATATTTAGAACCAGGTTCAGATTTTTGCTGTGCCAGTAGAACAAAATCTCTCCTCCTGCCTGGGTTTCCTTGTCTTGATTGAGGAGCAGCTCTGGGATTTTGATGAATGATGTTTGGTCCTTGCTGTGGTCTGAAGAAAAGCTCAGAATCTGATTTTTCATCACTATTCTGATTTTTCTGGCCTTGCTCTGTTGCTGGATTGACCCAGCATTGCAGAACACCATGGAGGGCACAATGAGCATTCCAGGTTCAGAATTGCATTATTTTACCCATTTTTAGGATACAGAAAAAGTGAATTTCTGTATCTTCAAAGCAGGGGCAGAGGGATGGAATGGCAGGCAGGTGATTATTTCTGCAGGTGATGTCCTTCAGCTCTCTCCTGATTCTGATGCTCACAGGTAAGAGAAGGAATTTTGGCTCCTGATTTTCCTGCTGTGTCACCCAGGGCAGAGCAGTAGAGTCTGGAATTTCCAAAGAATGGCTGCACAAGTCCCAGGGCAGAGCTGTGTGCTGGAGCAGGGAATTTAAGAGAAGGAAACAAACAATGAGCAAGTCTTTTATTGCAGATCAGACATCTCAGCAAATATTACAGCTTCACTTCAAAACAAACCTCACAACTAATGAGGTGATAGCCGTGCATATTAATAAACCCGAGCTGGAGTCATCACACCCACATCAAACATAAACATAAGATTAACACCTCCACCACTTCCTTGGAAGATGTGAGAATGTCCCAATGATAAGTGTGCTCTTTTCCCCAGAGGATAAGAAGTAGAAATGGAAGGGTAATGAGAAATTAACTTAGATTTAAAACAGAATTAGCAATTAAACAAGTCTAATCATGTACAAAGTCAAAGTTTGTCTAAAGACAAACCAGAATCTGTTAAGTTCAAGAATAAGTATAGACCGTGTGCATTTTATCTGCTGTGTTTTGCTTTGTTCACACCTGCTTCTTAAAGGAATTGCAGGAAATCAATGTTACCCACTTGTGTTTAATTGTACTGAGCTGGATTGGTGACTTGGCTGAGTACTGGGGCTGTTTATATATATTACAAATATTTATTTATTTCATGGTTTGGGCACCTCAGTTCCTGGTTAAGTTTTAAATGGGAGTTCTGGAAGTGTTGCTGGTTTGAAATGAGGGAGAATTGAGGATCTGGAGATCTGCTCTGTGGCAGGAGGAGGTCTGTGCATCACTCAGATCATCTCCTTTTCCCAGGACACCAGAAATCCAAGGATATTCCACTCCTCTTTGTTCTGGCTGAGAGGGACAGGCACTAGAAGAACATTCCCATCTTCTCACCATTATTATTGCTGTTATTACTAATAATAATAATGTTATTATTATGTCAAAACGCTGTAGATAGAATTTCCATTTGCTTTTCATAAGCCATAGAATCATAGAAAGATTAAGGTTGGGGAAAAAACCTTTAAGATCATTAAATCCAAGCTTTTTTGAAAGGCTTGAGGTGAACAAGCCACGCCTCTGGGCAGGCAGAATTTGACCAAAGCTTTTGTTAAAGGTAAAAACCCATCTGATTGTTTGCTGATGATTTCACCAGAGATGTCCAGAGCTGCATGTTTGCCTCTCCCCACTCCTGTTTTGTTTCTGGGGGATATAATCAGCATCAGGGCCACCCAGTGGAGCACAGACACAAATCCAGGGGTGTTTGGGGAATTACCAACCTGGGATGGTAGAAGCTGTCCCTGCCCATGGCAGGGGGGACAGAATGAGCTTGAAGGTCCCTTCCCACCCAAGCCATCCCAGGATTCTGTGTTTCCATGCATTTATTTATGTCTGTATGTAAAGCTGAACACACATTCTGTGTTTCCGTACGTTTATTTATGTTTGTATGTAAAGCTTGCCTACTCACGGACCACTTAAGGCTTATTTAAAAAAAAAAAAAATTAATCCTGGCCTCTGCCAAACCACGCTGCTGCCTTCCTTGAACCCAGCCTCTTGCTGTTTGCTGTTTTTAAAAGCCAGGAGAAGTCAAGAGACAGCTTTTAAAGCGTCTCAGGGCTTTGTTTTTTTCTTTTTTTTTTCCCCCCCTCACACAATCATGAATCTGTTTGCTTTTCAATGCCACCAAGGAGTGAAATGTTTGGTGTTCAAAAGCTGAACCTCTGATGGTTCTATTTACTGGTGAGTAAGAGCTTGGAGGTCCTGTTTGTTTGCAGGGAGGTGAAACTACTCAGGCAGCTCCATCACGAGGAGAACTTGTTCATCCTCTATAATGATGCTTCATAGAAATCATTTGTATTAAGCAAGCCCTGGTAATGGGAGCATAATGACCCCTTTTGGCTCTTGTTTAAATTCTTTCACTTCTCAACACTAATATTAATCACAAGCAGATGGTGCAGAACATTATTTATGCACACTCGTTTCCCAAACCCAAAAAAATATTTAACCCATTAACTGAAGTGGGTGATGAGACCAAGAGGCTGATTTGCTGATGAGCTGATTGTCTCCCTGCTTTCAGTAGCAGATATTTTGTGCAGGGCTGTCACTTCCTTTCCTTTTTGAGGAAAGGAGCACAGCCATTGAAAAGTACAGCAAATATTTGAGTCAATTCCCTGATTTGGTGGGGTTTGGTTCTGCTGGAAGGACAGCTTGGGTTTGCTCCTGCAGGGTTTGTGTGACTGCCCCTTGCTCTGTAGGGTCCCCAGCCTCCCCTCCCCATCCTTAAGGGGCAAATTTCCCAGTGCTTTCTTCCTTTTAGGATTTTCTCATGTTTTCAGCTTGCTTTGTGGAAGGATTTCAGGATCCTTTTTGTTGCAGCTAAAAGCAGAACTGGTTAGACTCAGTTTTCCCCTAAAAGTTGGGAGCAGCTGGACATCCTGGGATACCAGCATTCCCTGTGTGCTCCTGGGGCTGGGCTCATTCCACCCCCAGCCAAGCCCAGCTCAGAGGTGGCTGCATCTTTTTAGGAAGAAGGTGAAACAGGATTATTCTGCACCTTGTTCAGGATTCAGGAGAGAGCCTCTGGTGTGCTCAGCACAACTGCTTGGATTTAGCAAAGTCACTCAGCTCCAGAGGAGGCAAAACTCCATCAAAAGTGCAGCACGTGGGTGGAATTCCTAAAGATGGAGATCAGCAAACACAAACTGAGCCTCTGCATGCTCAGGACTGGGGTTTTTTTTGGGGAAATTACAGGATTTGCAGGAATTACAGTACCAGCAGTGTTGATACCTCACTTCCTAAGTACTGATCCACCTGGGGTCTATAGGAACTATTGGGTGCTCCCATTTCTAATCTGGATTTTTAGCTCAAATAGAGGCGAGCTTTAATCAGCTTCTTAATTGAGGTTCTGCATTTCTACATCGCAGAGACAAATTAAGGCAGCTCCTGTGGTACCAGCAAACAGCTGCTAAAGCAAGGCAAACCTAATGATAAACAAAATTAGGTTCTTTTCTAGTTGGGTTTCATCCATCTGCCCCCAACCAGTGCTCACTTTGAGAGGAGGCACTGATTCAAGCTGTTGCCTTTAATCCATTTTGACAGAAGAAGGCAAAGCCAGGCTCTAATCTTCCCATGTTTAAGCCAGGCTATAACGTGCACGTTCTGCTCCCCCACTGGCATCCCTGGAACTGCAAAGATGTTCAGTGTTTCCTGCACTAGAGCCAGGCTGGATGTTGAGTTTATTCCCAGTTGATTTTATTTTACAGCAGTGCATCAACTTCCTGTGGCAGCAGGAGCAGTCAGCATCAGGATATTTGCACTGATGCTCTGGTTTTGGAATGGACATTGATGGTTTATTTCTGGAATTCCATCTTCTTTTTCAGGCTGATTTTGCAATTTGGTAAAATCCCTGTGAGTTCAGGATTAATCCCTGGCCAAGTGCAGTAATTCCATCTATTCCTCTGTAATTCCATCCTTTTTCCAGGCTGATTTTCAAGTTTGTCAAAATCCCTGTGAGTTTTCCTGTCCATCCGTGTGCTTGGTGTCTGTTCCAGATTGGTGTGACCTGCAGGTTTAATAATGTGGATTTTTAGTATTGTATAAAGTCATCTGTGTAAATACCATCTCATATCTGTATGCAAAGGATGTATTTTATATATATATATATATATATATGGAATTTTATCTGTGCTGCTGACTTAGAAATCACTGCATTTGAAATAATATTTGTAATATTCCCTATCAAGAGGCACCATGCCAGTGCTCCCTGGATATTTGGGCTTGTCCTGTGCTAGGCCAGGAGCTGGATTTGGATGTGGCTCCCTTCCAATGGAGGATATTCTCTATAAATGGTGTATTTATTATCCAGGATAATGTGGATAATCCATTTTTCCCCCCAAACAGATGTGAAGCCCTCCAATATGTTGGTGAACACGCGGGGCCAGGTGAAGCTCTGTGACTTTGGGGTCAGCACCCAGGTAAATTCCCCCTCTGCATCTCTCCCCATTCCCCTCCTGGTGTCCAAATCACCTGGCAGCCCCACAGCAAACCCCTCTCTGCTGGGACAACCCTTTTCATTTTTAATCTCTGGGCGACTTTTCCTCCATCTGAATATGATTGTTCATTGTTTAATGACAGTAAAAACTGCTGATATTGTAATTACTACTTACGAATAGCAAACTTCATTGAAATGCAGCTTTGATCTGGGAGCCTTTTGCCCAGACAAAAGGGAGGGCAGAGCAAGAGACGTGTCTGGGGAGCCCAACTGGCCCACAATAAAAATTAATATTGGGAGCAACAATAGTGGTGGGCTTTGACAATGTGCAGCACAAATTTTAATTAATTTCCATTTTGGGCCTCCCTGGAGGACTTCTCTGCTAGTGACCCATGAGCTCACTGTGCTGTTGATTTGAATTTCAGCACCTTTTCCTCTCAGCCAAACACGAGGCCCAAAGAGAAGGTCAGCCTTGTATTATGGGCTGGCAGGCTCTGTTGTCCCTCCAGTGTTTAAGGGATGAATTGGGGCTTTATTCACATCTGACTGAAAAATGAGTGTGCTCAATCCTGCTTCCTCCTAATTCACTTTTTATATCAGACTGGTTTGGGGTACTAAAACAAGCAGCATCCTGTTTAACACAATTGTTTAAGGTTATCTGCCATAAACTGTAATGCAGTGCTTGCTTAAATTGGAATCCTCATTCCCCAACCCAGGCGAGATTTAATCATTTTTAACGCCTTGGCGGATAAATCCCTTCCCTTTTTTACATAATTTTTAGTTGATTTATAGGGATGATGATTGTAGGTTAAATGAGGAATAATTGCCCATTTTATTTCCACATTATCTTTATATTGTTCTAACAGACTGTTTTGTCTGATAGCTGGTGAATTCCATAGCCAAGACGTATGTTGGAACAAATGCTTATATGGCGGTAAGTGCATTGATGCAGGAATAACATTTAAATGGAATTATTTGTCCTCACTCTTGTTCTGTTCAATGCAGGAGATATCCTAAATCAATGCTCAAATCTCCATCTCTTCCCATCCCCTGTCTTCATTCTGTGGGACAACTCTGCTGCTTGCTGAGAGGGAGGAGGAATAGTGGAAAAGTGGTTTTTTAAAATATGTCTTCTCTTGTTTTTGTTCCTTGTGACAAGTGGGAACAAAGAGAGCCACTTGGATATTGGAAAAAAACCAGTTTTTCACTCACAGCTTGTGGCTCTCTGCAGATCAGTGACAGCCCCAAACCATCCAGGTTTTGGGAATGCTGGAGTTTAGGGAAGCATTCCCTAAACTCCAGCAGAGGTTGATGGGCATTCCTGAACACCCCATGGAAATCTGAACCTAAAAACATTGGGATTAATAACATCAGGGCATCAAAGTGCAAGTTTTTTTAATTCAGAACACCAAAGTCGTACTTGCACTTTTCTGTACAAATTTTTGTCAGTCTTTGTTAACACGAGACCACTTTTGTCCTGTTCCTGTGCATTAAAACCCATACATTCCCTTTTTTTTTAGAATTTTTTTTTAGCACATTGCTAAGGATTCATCATTTGGGGCAGGGTTTGGGTTCAGAGCTGACAAGTGCCAGCCTGAGCAAATCAGAGTAGATTTTCTGTACAGATTGTTCTGCACAGATTTCTCTGCACAAACCGCAGTTGGATTTCTCTGCACAAATTTCTCTGCACAAATCAGAGTGGGTTTTCCATCAGATCCATTGGATCCTTTTCAGTTCTCCATTTCAGACCTGAAAACTCCACTGCCTCAGTTTTTAAAGCTCTTGATGAACTCTATTTTGGCCATTAAAATCCTTTGAGCAAACTGCTCCTGATATTGCTGAGAAAAGAAGTGCTCTGCTGGTTTAAAATAAAAATATAAACAGCACAAAGTGTTTGGTGCTCGTGTTTTTCAAACCTCAGGGAAGGGGAGGGAGAAATCCATGACCTTTAATCGCTTTCAGGTATTTTTTTTCTGATTTTCTTGTCAGGGTTCCCATTTATTTGCTAAGTGCTTTTCCACTCGAGGTGTGCTCATTGTGTGGCTTCTGAAAGGCTCAAGTCACCATCCTAGAAAGACTTGGGCTGTCCTGTGTCATCAGAACACTCAGAAACAGCATAAAATAAATACATCAGAATAGCAGAAAAATGGGGGTTTTAAAATAAAAAATAGAGATTAAAAAAAGAGCTGGAACACAGAGATTCAGACAAAGAAACAGCTTCAAATTAATCAACTTTTCCAGCTCAGCTGTTGCTTCAAACTGGTCTTAAGCAGGGCTGAGAATTAAATTGTATTATGCTTTCAGTGCCCAAACCAAGATTACAGTTCTCTTTCCCAGGTGTGCATTAAATAAATTGCTTTTTTTGCCTTTCTGGGAGGATGTGATGCCTCCATCTCTCAATTGTGAAACAGAAGTTTAAGCTCAAAATGTGCTCGATCTGATTTTCTGTGTTAAAATCACTTTGCTACTTGATTGAGTCGTTTGTTGTCATCAAATTTCCAGGCAAGCCCTGAAAAAATAATGAAGGTCATAAGCTTTGCTTCACCCACTTGGCAGGCTGGCAGTGAATTTGAAACTCTTGAAAAAATCGAGGTTGTCTTTGAAAAAAAGAACAGACTTTTTGATTTTTGGTTGTTTTTTTTTTGGAAAAAAAGAGCAGCTTTTTGTTTGAGAAATTAAAATTTCCAACCAAAACACATTCTAAAAATCATTTCATCAGCATTTTATAGAGGAAAAAAAATTGAATTAAAAAATAATCAGTGGTAGAAATTTTAAAGAGAAAATACCTTGGGCTGTGTATTTAGAGTGAGCCATGTGTTGCAACCTTGATGCATCTATTATTCCTATTTTCCTTTTCTTTTCTCCACTTTTAAATCCATCTTTTGTTTAAAAACCTGGTTTCTTTGCCCTTACCTTTTGTGAAACCACAATTCCTCACTGGAATTTGCTGTTTAGAGCTTGAACTTTAAGAATAAACAATTTAATATCTCTCAATGTGAATTAAATAAATCTCATTTGGTGGCTCGGGAAGGGTGTAGAAAATGGGGTGGGTGTTAGCACCTTGCTTGGGCCAGGTTAGCACATCCCATATCAAGTTATAAAATCATTCTTGGCTGCACATCTGCACCTTTGTGAGGATATGTCTAAGTATAAAAATATGTCACTATAAAAATATGTCAGTATAAAAATTTATCAGCTTAAAAAATCACACGATGCTGTTGCAAACATTTCTAAATGTCCTGACCTAGGTTAATTATACTCAATGAATTAAAAAACAATAAAATAAGATTTTTGGGGTCGCTCACAAGTGAGATTTGGTGAAATTGTGGGGTTTTTTGAGGGGTTTTGGGAGGTTGTTTTTAGAGGGAATACGGGCAGCAGTGTGGTTTTTATTTAACATTCACGCTGCGATAAAAGCTCCTGACCTGGGAGTAGCAGCACAGGGTAAACATCCAAAACCACATCGGAGTGGCACTAATTTGGGAGTTTGTTTTCTAACAAAGGTCTCTGGATTATTAAAGAGTGAAAATCCTTTGTAGGTGGCTGGGCCAGACAGGTGCATTAACAGCACAGTGGGGAGAGGAGTCTCAGGGAGCCTTTTATTGTTGCATTTCATGCTGTACTTGACCTTGGAAATGCTTAAATTGTAGCTTTCAAGTAAAAACCAGCAGATATTTTTTACAGCACTCCACTTCATGAAGCATTAAACCTGCTGTTAATAGTTTGGAGCAGGGGGGTTTTTTTGTTGGGGTTTTTTTTTTCCCTCTACAGGTCAAAAAGCCCAAAATTAAGTATATAAAATAAAGTTGCCACCGTGTGGTGATTCTTTTGGCTTCAGTAACTTGGCTTTTTAACTGTGCTTATTCCCCAACCTCTGGACTCCACACAGGGAATTTTTTCCTTGCTGTGGTGCCTGGATTTGGGGAGGGAAGTGGAAAATTGGATTCTCTCAACTTGACCTTGTGCTTTGCTCATGTGTATGAGCCCTTGGCTTTTCCCTTGGATTAAACAACGCCAACATAAATCCAAGGCCAACCTTGCAAGGTGCATGGACCCAGATTTTCCTGAAGAATTCCTGAATTTTCCTGGGTTTGCTCCCTGCCAGGGAAGCTTTGAAGCACCTTGGTGGTTTTTGGTGTCTCCACTTCCCATGGGGCAGCTCCAGTCTCTGCTCTGGGGTTGGTGACAGAGCCCAGGGGAGGGCTGGAGCTGGGCCAGGCAGCTTTAACTGGATTTTAGGAAAAGTTTCTTCCCCCAGAGGGTGTTGGGGCACTGCCCAGGCTCCCCAGGGAATGGGGGAGCTCCAGAGTCTTTGGACAATGCTCCCAGGGTGGGATTTTGGGATGCCTGTGCTGGGCCAGGAGCTGGAATTTGATCCCTGTAGGTCCCTCCCAACTCAGAATATTCCAGGATCGTGTGATTTTTCCCATCCCTTGCCCTGGAGCAGCTTTGGAGCAGGATCTCTCTCTGCCTGCAAGGCTCAGGAGTTGTTCCTCTGCTTTTGTCCACAGCCTGAGAGGATTTCAGGAGAGCAGTACGGGATTCACTCGGATGTTTGGAGCCTGGGGATTTCCTTCATGGAGGTATGCAGAGAGCTCTCAGATTAACTCTTACATCAAAAATAACATCAAAACATTCAATTTAACCTTTGTTTATTCTTTAAATTCCCTGTATATTCCTGTGCTTTTTCCTGTTGCTGATTTGGGCTGTATTTAGAATGGGTTTGTTCATTTGAGGTCTCAAATAAAAGTCCATATTGGGGTAGGAAGTAGGGTCTGGTGTGTGGAGGCTTTTTCCTTTCCCTTTCTTTTTTTGTTTTCTCTTTCTTTCCCCTCTCTTTCCCCTCTCTTTTTCCTCATATTAAGGTGAAGCTGGACATACCTTTAAGTGAACTGTAACCACTGTTTTTAGCAGAAGATGAAGTTGAGCAGTCTCAGTGCTGGCCCTCTGCATCTTGGCACATTTCACATTTTGCAGCCCAAAATTGAACAGTTTTTATATTTTCACACAGTAAATTCCTTGCCAAAACCCTTTTAACCAAAATGTAGGTGGTGAGTGCTGAATCAGTGCTTGCAGATGTGGGAAATCAGTGTCACTGGAGCCAGCCCTGAGTGGCAGGGTGACACAATTTGATGTGTCCCAGGGGAGGGAGGCAGGGCCCTTCATTTGTTTCACTGCACATTTGAATGGTTTGTGGTGCTGGAGAGCCCTCCCTCAGGATTTGGGAGAGATACATACCAAATTCATACACTCTGTAAATAATTGTAGCAAAAAAAGGGCTGAGCTTGTACTCCAGGAAGGCTTTGTGGTGGTGTGGGTGATAAAAAGAGTGATATAAACACAGGACTTTATTTATAAAGCATTTCCCAGTTCCTTTGCTGAATTAAAAGCTGTGCCCCAGCAGCTCAGTAATCTACCACGAGATATTTGGAGTTTATTTTTGGGTTGTTAGTTGCTAACTTGGCTGCTCATCAATTCCACGTGCAGGCTGAATTTTATTGGTGAAACTCCTTTCATTTGCATTTCCTCCTCTGGTTTTACACCTTCCCAACTTTCCTCTGCCTCGCTTCCCACGGGTTTCTCCTGAACCAGATGTGCAGGAACCAGTTTGGGTCTGGGTGCTTTGTTAATTGGTTTGTCAGCTGCTCCTCTGAGACCTCTCCCACCAGCAGCAGCCTGATTGAAGTGCTCTGAGTGATGTTAAATGATGAAAACAAGGACAGTGCCTTAGAAAAATGCCTCCAAAAAGGTGAAAAAGGTGCTCCAAGAGCCACACAAGGTCACTGTCATTAAAGTAACACCCTATTGACGTGGGGATTGGGAGTGGAGACACTCTTGTTGCTGTTAAAAAGGGGAGCTGGTGTTTGCTGCAGGATTTAAAATCATCTGCACTCAGTGAAGTCGTGCTCCAAACCCACACCTTGGTGGGATTAACAGCGTGTTAATTTAAAAGAAATACCTGGTGGGATCGAGGCAGCAAAGGCTGTGCTGGCAGGTGAGGATGTAAAACTGGCAGTAAATCTTCTCATTTTCTTTAATGCTCTTCTGAGCCCTTAAAACCTCTGGAATTTCTGTGCTGCCAAGCTGTGTGTGATGAGAAGTGGGAGTTATTTGGGAGGTTGAGGAAACTGCCCCAAAAAAGTTGGGAGGAGAGAGGGAAAAGTTTGGGATGGGAGTCCTGCCTAAGCTTTGAGAAATGGGGAGTGTTCATGTTCCCTTTGAGGCAAGAGAGGTCTGAGGGTGCTCAGTCATCCCCTCAGAAATAAAAAAATAAATAACTAAATACAAATATAATGAAATTAGAGATGCAGCTATATCATCATCATTATTACAGATTATTACTATAATCATTATTATAATTGTTATTATTGTTATAATCTTTTTTGGTACTTCATTTTTTTTGAGTTTGCCTTTCTTCCTTCAGGATTTTTCTGAAGGGAATGAATTTAATCCCTAACCCAGAAAAACTGTTGAGAAGTGTTCCACCACAAATAGTTTGTGTGTTTCCATGAGGTTTTCCCGTGTTTTATTTAAGTGCTCTTGGCTTGACAAAGCAAGTTCAATTTAAACCCGTGCCATTGCTGTCACTACACTGACCACTGTGTCAGCATTTTCATTTCTAAAAGCTGTTTTTCAGGGTTTATAACTCAGCCATAAAACACATCCAGGCTGGGCTGGGGCTGGCTGAGCTCTGGAACCCATTCCCTCTCTCCAAGAGCCGTGTCCTGCACGGGAGGAGAAATTAAATTGCCCAATATTTCTTGTTACTCTCCAATATGACTCTGATCCTAGCTGTAATCCACAAGTGAACTTTAAAACATCCAAGGGAGGATAAAATCCATCTGGCTGGGGTTTAATAGTAGCAGCAAGGCTGGCTTGGATGGGTCTGGAGCAACCTGGGGTGGTGGAAAGTTCCCTGCCCTTGGGAAATGAACTTTAAGGTCCTTCCCAAGCTGCCTCATCCTGGGATTCTGTGATATTTATGATTTTATCTCCTGGTAGAGTTGGTGTTACATTTAAATTCGGGAAGTGAAAGCAATTTGCTAATGCCCAAAACCAAGTAAATTTTGGAGGTAGAAGCTCCTGTCCTTGGCTTTTTGCTCCTCCTTCTGTGTCACGTCCTGGTCTCTGCTTTCCACTGCCCTCTGTGTTCCAGCTCTCTTTTGAAAATTAGATTTTTTTACAGAGGTCATCCCAGTTGTCTCCCCCAGAGAAAAGGAATTTGTGCATCAGTTTTAATAATAGTTCTTATATATTAGTTCTTAATATTAGTTCTTTAGTATTAGTTCTGAAAACTCCCAGACTGAGGGTTTTAAGTGTTTGGTGACCAGAGTTCTCAGGAGCTGTGTATTTGCAGGACCTTTCAAGGGTTCTTAGCAATCTCTTAAGAAGCCATCAGGCATTTTCAGTGGTTGTGTACATTCCCAGACATAGGAAAATCAGGAATTATCCAACCAAAGTGCCTTCTTGTGGTACTTCAGGCACACCTGAGCACTGTCAGAGTTCTGGAGCGCAGACCCTTCATCCCACTCGGGCTGGGGGCACAGAGGGAGCTGCAGAAGAGCTCACTCAGCCCACAGAGAGGAGGAGGAAGGTGCTGGAAGTGGATGCTCCAAGGAAAGCAGCTGTGCTTGGAGATGGTTCTCTAAAAGCTCTTCAGTCTCGAGGGTGTTTGGCTGCATAAAACTGGAGTTAAGGCTCTGTCAAGGAGGGGAGGTTTCAAATCTCCTTCTGAGCAGTCTGAGATCTGGGATTAGTTACATCTCAGCAGCTTGGGAGTGAGGGAGATTCCAGGTCAGGATTGTGAGCTGACGTGAGGGAGGTTCTGCAGGATTTCCCTGCTCTGGGGGTGCTCTCTGATCAGGTCACCCTTACCTGGACCAGGGCTGCTCAGGGACAGGGTCTGGTGGTGGCAAGAGCTGCACTTGGTGCTCTTCAAGGTCGTCTCCAGCATAAAGGATTCTGTGATTAGAGGTGGTGAAGGAAAGATCTGAAACCCAAATCTTGGTGGCACAGCCTAATTTTTGTAGTGGTCTGGAAGAAACAGCCTCAAGGTGTACCAGTGGGGGAAAGGTAACACCTTCCCTTCAGGATTAAGGAAAACAAGGATGTAAAAAATGCTTTTTGTTGTTGATCTTATTGCAAGGAGCCTCACCTGGTTGCTGTCAGGTTTTAGGGACCCTAGTGCTGTGATTTTGGTGACTTGGTGGCAACTCCTTGTGCCCAGCCAGGCACAAGGATCTGTCACGTGCCCAACCCGCTCAGCAGCCCGAATCCTCCTTATTGAGGAATATTTATGGAGTCTCAGCCATTCCATGTGGAATGATGCACTTCACAAACTCCTTCTCGGGCAAAAAAAGCTGGCCTATATTTTGATTATTTCATTCCCTGGAGCTGCTTGGGGTGATTTCTCCCAGCAGAGCGCGTTCCCTCCGATTCCTCTCCCACCTCCATCACCCACCAGGGTGGGGACAGGCCATGTCCAGCCTGCTGCTGGTGGGACTGGGAGTGGAGGGAGCAGTGCCTGAGGGTTGGGTCATGAATTAATAATTGCTGTGTGCTGGGGGAGGCCCTCACACGAGCTGCAGCCGGGGAAGTTGCCTCGCAGAGCGCTATCAATCACTCAGTGACCAGAACTTCCAGTAATTAGTGTATTTTATGGGCCTGTGCTTCAGTGACTCGGAAGCACATATGCTCCACTCCCAGCTAAACTTAGCCAGAGTAATATTCCAGGATGATTTATCCGCCTGCTGCACTGGGATGTAACCCTATATTAGGTGAAGATTGTGAACTAAGCTGCAATAAAGTGGAAGTTTAGGTACAGTTTGCACGGGTTGAGACCTCGATGGATCATTGTTGCTCAGCAATTGCTCCTAGGCCGCTGTGGGCAGGGAAATAAATAATCCAGTTCTCCACCCAGGCTCAGGGGTGAGGGGGCAATTAAGGGATGACATCAGCTCTGGGTGTTTGGAATGTGTGTTTTATATGTAAGGTTATTTAATGTATAGAACAGAATACATTATATATATTTTTACGTGTAAGTGAGGCCCTGGCACAGAAGCTGTGGCTGCCCCTGGATCCTTGGAATGTCCCAGGACAGGTTGGACAGGGCTTGGAGCAGCCTGGGATGGTGGAAGGTGTCCCTGCCCATGGTAGGATGGATTAGAGGATCTTCAGAAGGTCCCTTCCCACCAAACCATTCCAGGATTCTATCACTCTATGTATTGTTTCCTATTCTTGCTCTGTGGTTGTTTGTACTTTTAAAGAGTCAAAAAATCAGGCCTTTTCCCATGATTTAATGGCCTGTCCTGGCAGATGAGCCCTCGCTCCAGCAGAGCTGGAGTTGAGCAGAAGCTGAGCTGCATTTCCACCAGCACAGCCACGTTTAACCCGTTTCTCCCTTTTTGTACCAAATTTAAACCCAGCAAACAGCCAAGCAGGAAGCCTCTCTGCTCGAGCAAGGAATCAAATTAACCCTCCTGGAGCACTTGTGGAGGTTTTGCTCCTGACAATTTCCCTGGAAAGCCCTGGCCCACCTTTGTCCCTTCGGAAAAGGCGCTGCCGTTCGCGGTGTCACCTTTGA